TTTTGAATGGTATATTATATTACGGTTTTATTTAAAATTATATTATTAAATTATATTATTTTATATTACGAAATGTTTGTTGTATTTATGGGTTGTTTAATAATATTATTTATTTAATATATTATGATTATTTAAAATTATATTATTACGAAATATTTTGTTTCTTTGTTTTTTTCTTTTTTAGATGGTTTATTATTATGGTTATTTAATTATATTATTAATTATATATTATATTACAAATTATTTTGGTATTTATGGGTGTTATTTAATAATATTATTAATTTAATATATTATATGGTTATTTAAAATTATATTATTAATTAAATTATTACGGAATATTTGTTGTATTTATGGGTTATCTAATAATATTATTAATTTAATATATTATGGTTATTTAATTATATTATTAATTATTATATTATTACCAAATATTTTGTTCCTTTGTTTTTTTCTTTTTTAGATGGTGTATTATTATGGTTATTTAATGTTATTATTAATTCAATATTATCATTATTAAAAATTATATTATTAATTAAATTATTACGAAATATTTGTTGTATTTATGGGTTATTTAATAATATTATTAATTTAATATATTTATGATTTTAAATTATATTATTAATTGTATTACTACCAAATATTTTTTTTCTTCTTTTTTGAATGGTATTATTTATATATATATATATATATATATATATATATATTATTTTTTAATTTAATTTTTTCTATTATTTTATAATTATTTAAATTTTATTCATATTTTTTTCTTTTTATCATCTATAATACACACAATTGCTAAATCCTTTAATTATAATATATATATATACACCTTACTGTAATCATTTTGTTCTATATTATATCAAATCGTAAATTTTCATTTATAATATTAATTAAACCGCATTTACTTTTGATTCATTGTTTTTCTTTTTTTTTTCTTAATTCATATTTTTTTTTACATTTTCATATATTAATATTTTATTTAATTATTTGTTTTTCATTGAGAAGTCTGAATGTTTCACGCTCAGTGAAGCAAACACTGAGATACTTCAGACAACTTCATTCATTTCTATATTTTATTATATATTTCAATTTACATTATCTTTACTGTATAATTACCTTAACACTATTAACAAAATATACTTCTCAATATTTTTCAACAATAACAATATTATATTAATAATAATAAAAAAACAAAAAAGAAAAAAACTGATTTAAATATCGTCACAATTTGAACATGTTATCATAGGTTCACACGATGGGATAATGCGAATAGTTTGAAAATAGGTTTCCCACAGATAAAAAAAAAAACCCCCCCAAGAGAAAAAAAAACGAAAATAGGCAAAGGAGAAAGAGAGAATAGCATTCGCGAATAAATTAAAAGCTCGTCGTCGAGTTTACCAACACCACCACCACCACCACCACCACCATCATCACCACCACTACACCAACCCCTTTCCTCTCTTTTCCAACCTCCTTCGCTCTTGTGCTTTTACTTCCGTTCTGGTGTCTCTCGTTGAGAAGAAAATGGTAGTAAAATGTATATGTATATATATGTGTGTGTGTGAGAGAGAGAGAAGTGAGGAGGGGTGAGGAGGGGGGAAGGGAGAGAGGTGCTCGTCCTATTTTCTCACTTTTTTTTTAATCATCCTCTCTCTCTCTTTCTCTCTCTTTCTCTCTTTCTCTCTTTCTCTTTTTCCCTTCTCACCCTTTTTTTTTTTTTTATCTTCAGTGTTCTAATGTAAACGATAATCCCTTAGCGTGATGCAAACGCGAACGTCGTAAGAATTTAGTTGTGCTGCGTGTTTTCTACTCCGAAAAAGGGACTCCTACCTGCTGGACTTTTTCCAAAAGGGTCGTTCGTCGGTCGCGGGGTCGGTCCATCCGATGAATCGACAAGCCTTACTCTCTCTCTCTCTCTTTTTCTCTTTTACATATGTCTTATATACATGCATATCGTTAACGTCACGTACGAGAGAGATTTAAGAAGAGAAAAGAAAAAAAAAATTCGATAAAAAAAAAAACCAAGTTTGGAAGATGAGACCCCTTTTCCTTTGGTAAGACAAAAAAAAACAAAAGGGTTAGCGCTTAACGCGTTCACATATGTATATACTTATTTATATATATATATGTGTGTGTGTGTATACTTTCTTTTTCTCGCATACTAATTTGGGTTTCTTGTTGTTGTTGTTGTTTTTTGTTGTTGTTTTATTTTGGTTGAAATATTTCTATGCAAGGATAGGAATGAGATGATTCGTTCACTTAAATGAGATAGGATGAAGAAAGTTAGGGTTGTAAATGAGAGAATGAGAGGGACAGGTGGGTGTAATACTTACGTGTGAGAAAGTGAGAAAGTAAAAAAAGGGGAAGAGAGAGAGAGAGAGAGAGAAAGAGATACGAAGGGACACAAGGAGAG